GTTGGACGGACGTTACATCCTCTTTAGGTTCCCACGTGGACAAAGATGATGGGCCGTGGGTGGGTGGGGTGAAGAGGAGAAAGAGAAGGAGGAGAAAGAGAAGGAGGAAGAGGAAGAGGGGGATGAACGGACGTTATGTCCTCATCAGGTTCCAACCTGGACGAAGATGATAGCCCATTGGTGGGTAGGGTGAGGAGGAGATAGAGGAATCAAAAGAGGAGGAGAGGAGAAGACCGTATGCTATAACTTTGTTCACCCATGCCAGGTTCCCACGTAGTCTGTGAAAAGATCAACCTGTACCGATGGCTCGTCCTGATGCAGTCCGTGTTCCCCGAGGACTACAACTTCTTCCCGGACACCTGGCTCCTGCCCGAGGAACTGGACATCTTCACTGACCACGTGAGCTCATTTCTGTGGTGTTATTCTCACTCACTCATTCACTCACTCACTCACTCACGCACTCACGCATTCACGCACTCACTCACTCACTCACTCACTCACTCAATCAATCAATCAATCAATCAATCAATCAATCAATCAATCAATCAATCAATCAAGCGATCAATCAATGAGACACAACTATTGATTGATCTTACTTGAGTTTACTGTGCTTGACGTTTAGCAGAGTGGCCAAATAACAAAATGCATTGTCGCCCTCTACCATGATACTTAGTCTAGAAGAAACGAACCAAGGGACTGCTGTAAGGAGTACGCCGTAAGACACTTTTTGTTTTGAAGAATATTGCTTTGGTGGTTGCTGTATGTCACTGGTAGGGCCTAATTCTTCTCTCTCTCATCCTTCTGCTGTTTCTGTGAGTAAATCGTACCATTTCTTTGCATTTTTTAAAAAGTCATTATTGCGTGGGTGAGTTTTTAAAAATGAAATCAAACTCGAGTAAAAACTACACACAACGTTTTGTTCGTAACCAATGATATAAATCAATGTCACCCTGTCCTCCTTCTTTTCTCAGTACGTTACTCTGTAGTACGCCTCTAATCTTCCAGACTTGTTATTGTTTTAAACCATTTGCAAGTGCAATGAAACGCACACAAAAACTAAATCTTTGAAAAAAAATCTTATTACGCTCTTCTCTGGCTTCTCCAGGTAAAACCACAAGCCTTGACTTCCTCCAGCCAGAAGCCTATACGTAACCACGAAGCTCGATGGCGACCTGGTGGTGTCCCTAACGGAATGGTAAAGCAAAAAAACACAAAATAAATTAAATAAATGCATTGATAAATTGCATTTTTATTGATCACAGAAGTGCAATTTGATTTACAATGACAAACATACACATACATAAATACATACTCTTTACATAATTATATAAATGCGCAATTACACCAATACAGAACAATTTAAATACCATGCCATTGCTGTTTAATATCTTGAAGAGAAAAAAGAGATAATAATTTGTCGCTTTTTTATCGTTAGTCTGCAGTCAAAAACAAGAATAAGAAAAAAGACTCTGCATTCCAGGGTTTGCTAGGGTAAAAATAGTTGTATAGCGCGTATAGCATGCGTGGGTATACGCTATATAAATGCATTTGTTGTTATTATTATTATTATTATTGTTATTATTGTTATTATATTA